CTTAGAAAACGCTAAGCGCATTTAGACGCTCGGCGCATATGACCTTAATTTTCGCTTAGCGCGCACTTAACCACCGATTTGGGTGCTTAGCGTCTTTACTGACTGCGCTAAGCGATTCCAAAACCTTAAAGGTTAGTTTTGCTTGTTGAACTGTCAGTAAAAATAGAAAATATTCTGATTTTGTGCGTGCTCTTGCTCTCAAGTGAAAACTACTTCTTCTATAAATTCCCCAATAAGTAATTGGTAATACGACTTGGCAGCTATAAATATTGTTCAAAACATTGAAAATGCTGAGAAGGGTCTTCGAAGTTTCCCTCGTTTAATAAGAATAATGACATCTGTAGTAAAATAGGTTAACATAACTCAACAATAGGTTATGAAATTCTCATCAACATTGACATTTTTTATTGTTTTATCCACATTTGACTATTAGATACCTAAGAAATTGCGATACTGCCAATATGTGCTCAACGCGTATCCAGAAAACGATTCGCATGGCAACGAGAATACTAAAATCGACTGCTTGGCGTTCTGCTAATCGAATACTTTCGCTTACCGCTTTGAAAGCGTAACTTTTTAATTTAAAGTTCCAGAATTCGGGCCCAGGTCTCCGAGGCATAAGTAACAATAGAGAAACTTAGAGCTTCAATAGGGAATCTTTCTACATCTTATTAAGTTTGTTCATAGAATTGCGTGCTATATACATTCTTTTTTTGATTCCTGCATCGCATTCTCCTTCGTTTGAGGCCATCCTGTACAGTACATGCTAATAATTTTTGGATAGTTCTTTAGATTTCTGATATAGTATATAAAATGAATAACCAAAGAATATACCTAGCTAGAAAAAGAATGGACTCTGCCATACTGAAAAATGGTCCCACAGAATGGGGCCATCTATTGAGTAGGGCTTGTGTTACATGGATCGAAGCGCGGGCTTTTTAAATGAGCGTATTTATTGAATTTTACTCTAAAATAATTAAACTTGATTATTAAATCTTATTTTTTACACAAATTCAACAATACTAATAACAAGTATCGTTGTGATGTGAAAAAATAAGATTTAACAGTATAATTTATACAATTAAATAAAAATAAAGCCGAACATGTGTAAACATTATTTATTATTTTTAAAGTTTTTATTTATAAGTCAAATATTTAAACATCGTTTATTATAATAAAACAAGACCAACGTAATATGCCCAAAGTTTTGTAAATTGAGTAAATATAAATAGGTACTTAAATGATGGCAAAAATAAAAGACTTACATTATATTTTTAGGGCCACAAACAAAAGGAATTGTCTAATTAAAACACATACCTATAACAAATTATAGTTTGAAAAACGTTTTGATAATATCATGATAATATTATGATTGGCGCTATGACAACGACAATATTTTTTGAGAATTTGACAATAGTATGACAATGGCCTTTGGAAACTATGGAAACTACAAAAAAATTCTGATTTAACGCCATCTGGCAATAACTAGTAGCAACTTCTTAACCTAAAAATTAATTGCACTACCACCTAGCGCCTGAGGCTGGAACTATTTTATTTGAAATTTCCGTGGAAACGGTAGAACCGCTTTTGCTATTTCACTTTCCCGCCCCTGTGAATAACTTTGAATCTTAACCGTTATTTTTTACCAACATGGCAAATATAAAATCCCTCTGTCAAAAAAGTTACTGATATTCTTTAAATTGAGTGCCTGAACGAATCAGATAGGTAACTCTTTTTACTTTCGTGAAATAGAAAAGGAAAATAATAAAACAAGTGACAGTTCTTTCTCTTCTTGCAAAAATCAACACGAAATGTCATTATTGTCAAAAGTAAAATGTCATCAGCTTTTGACATTTCTAAATATCAGACCAATGCCGTCTCTAATAGAACAGCCTCGGAGCGGGATTTATGACGTCACGCTAGTTAGATATTACGGATTATTAAATATGTTGTAGAATACGGGGAAAACATAATCATTCCTCGTATTTTTGGTTTGTATTTTAAAAATGATATAGTTTACATGAAAAATACATAATATACAGTTAATAAAAACAGTATAATATATATCTATTTATAGTAATAAATACTTTGGCAAATAAAACTATGAACCATACCAATGCAGCAAATGTTTTACAATAGGAATGCAAATAATGAATAGGTACATATTATGATAATGGGTAAAATGTAAAATATATTTTAAATTTTGGGGTTTGAAAATCGATATAATTTAACAAAAAACATTCAATATCTCATTTATTATTTGCATTCACAAAATTTATATGTATATTTTGCAAGTATCAATGTTCGAAAAATTATATTTGCATATTAGTAGATATTGAATGTTTTTTGTTAAATTAGATCGATTTTCAAACCCCAAAATTTAAAATATATTTTACATTTTATCCATTATCTTATGTACCTATTCATTATTTGTATATTGTAAAACATTTGCTGCATTTGTATGGTTCATAGTTTATTTGCCAAAGTATTTATTACTATAAATAGGTATATACATATATTGTATTTATTAACTGTATATTATGTATATTTCATGTAAACTATATCATTTTTAAAATACAAACCAAAAATACGAGGAATAATTATGTTTTCCATGTATTCTACAACATATTTTTTAATCCGTAGTATCTAACTAGCGTGACGTCATAAATCTCCCTCCGTGGCTGTTATTAGAGACGGCATTGCGTCAGCCTGGCCGCAAGTTGCTAACCTAATAAAATTAACACCAGAAAAGCCCGCGGGAACTGTCAAATTCAAAGTTATTTGTTTCACAGACTATAATATAATGAGTATTCTCAATGTCAAATAAAATTGAATTAGCGTAACATTTTCTCTATAAATGTATAGCTTCTTTCAGAAATCGGATAATATTCATCTGAAGCAAGTCTTAAAGATAACAACTGAAACAAAAGCTACATTTTTCAACCCCATTTTTCCATAGTGTTTTAAATTTTTATGTGTAAGAAAGTAACGTTTGTTTCTATCTGCATAACGATCAATCAATGAGTGTTATTTTGAGGAGTGTTCAAGGAACATAATCATCCACTAGAGATATAGGTCTTTTTTAGACAAAGAGTTTAACCAAAATGAAAAAAATATATATTAAAAAATTATAAGTCTAAACAGAGAAGGAAAACTAATTTTTTTTCCTGAATTTATTGTCGAGGAGTGTAGAATCAAAAAATCAAAAAACACAATTCGAGGATATGAACTTTAGGAACCACATTTTATTTTGAGGGATATTAGCCCTAAAAAACACCGTCGAAAAAACAGACTACGTATAGAAAATAATGGCGCGCCAGCTGCTCCCACACAAATAGCAAAAATTCTTTATAATAATTATCTTTAAATATGAATATTAATAATAATCGTGTAATATTTTACGTCACGCCACTGGTTTCGCTGGGGAAACCGGCGAGATTGTGCCGCGGGCGCCCTCTCTTGGCAAGATGGGAAAGGAATTCCAGAAAGATATGTTTATTTTTTCATTTTTTAAGTCTATGATTTTTCGATGGTTTTTGGTTTATATAGGTATATTATTTCAACTAATAATTGCTCTATAATTCGACATTACTATTTTCACCATTGGTTGATTCTAAATAAAAATAAAAAACAGTTTTTTTAAACATTGCAATATTACTAGATTATAAAAACGACATATTTATTTAAGTTACCAGCAAGTAATTTTATGCTAGAATTTGAATGAAATTTGCAGCTAAATGTAAACTTAACCAAAAGTTTATATTTTTTGGATAAACTTCATCTTAACTTCCAACTTAATTAATTACACTTTTTGTATAGTAAACATATTGCAGATCTCAGTATTAGGTACCCTAATTTGTTGCAGTGTTTAAATTTAGTTTTTTTTTAAATAAATAATAACAGCAGGTACTTAAATTTAACAGAGAATAAATTTTAAATCAAGAATCGATTTATGACACCTTTATTATAGAAAAAAATCTTTTTGTATATTCTGATATTTTTATTTTAGTAAATTGTAATTTAGAAATTTGCAATAATCTTTATTTTTAGTTTAAAATAGTAAATTTCATTTATAATTTTGATGATCAAAATTAACTACTGTCTAAAAATATTCATTCAAATATTAGATCCACATTTATACAGGGTGAGTCTGAAATAAGTGCAAATATTTTCAAGGCTTGTAGATCTGGATAAAGGAACCATAACTTCTCTTTACCGTTTTTTAGATAAGTCAAAAATAACCGAGTTATTCATGTTTGAAAATAAAAAAAAAATGTTTATTTTTAAAAAAAATTGAATGCCACCGGATTTTTTTCTGTATTTGCATCCCTTTTAGTGCCGTACCCATAGAGTAAAGCCGTAACAATGGTAATTATCAGAGATTAATATATTATTCCGTGGGAAAATTTGCGGTGGACGGGCAGTTCTAAAAAGTTTTCTAAAATATACAGGAAAATTTATTATCTTTTTTCTTGCGAAAAAAACTTCATAGACGCGTTCCTGGGATCGAAAAATACCACCCCTAATAATATTTGCGCGCATTTAAGACTCACCCTGTATTATGTAGGTACAGTTAGAGTTCAAAATCGGGAAATCCCGGTTCTTTTGAGCAGGACTGAAATTCCTGGTTCCAAAAAACAGGTTCCGGAAAGCCAATGTAGTATATCTAATAAATTCTTGTAGGCTGAGAATTAATTATTGTTCTAGCGTAAATAAAAAAATCTTTTAAACAATTAACAATAATTATATTCCAATTATTTAAACAGTTTACTTTAGATCAATTATTCACTGATATATTATCTAATAATGGATTGCTAAAATATTATGGGTAAGTATTAAATATTTCTATAAAACTTCATATATTAGGTAACCTTAACTAATTTCCACCTGAAATATTTTGTGTTTGAATTTGAAATCTAAATTTTTTGAAATTAAAATTTAGTTGAAACTACAACTTTATACAATAAAAACATTTATTAAAATTTAATATGAAATCATTATTAGAAAACTTAAAACGAATTTTATTATTAATGTAGTTAAATCTGTTGATTCTCAAATTTGAAAATAAATTTTAACGAATGTCAAATTATAGAGCATTTAGTTGAGACTTAATCCTGTAATTCTTACTCATGTTTCTGAAAAAAGTAAATTGGCAATTGAGAGGGTGCATCGGGCAACAAATCGTTTTTCTATATCAACAATCACACTTAGTTCCAATAAAACTCACTTTTCAATGCGAGGTAGGTCACGCCCACTGGGGAGCGTTTCCCATTTTGAGTTATTTTGGATACGTTTTGTTTTAACCTAAGAGTTAAAATTTTAAATATATATCTACTACTATATATACGATGACGTTGGAAACCAACTGAAACATAACTAGATACATTCCGCCGTGGGAGGAGTTTATATCCCGTAAACCGAAACTCGTATATAATAATTTATATAGATAATAATAAAATGATCTTGTTCTTTTCTTATTTGATTCAAAAAAAAGAACGCGTACCTAACTTTTCGGGTTTTCAGGATAAAAAGGTAAAGTCCTCTAAACTCTTCCCATAACGATTCTCAAGTAAAACACTGTATTGTTAATTACAACTAATTATTAGTTAATAGGAACCAATTCGCCAGATAAAGATATCTTGTTATTTTTTTAGTTTTACTCATGCGAGATACTTAAAAAAGCACGTTTCACCTTTTTAGCTTGATATCATCTTCAGTTACATATAAATATACATATATACTCGATCGAAATGACAGGGGAGATTGACAGGACGCTCCGAACGTCAATCCGTCCCCCGTCAAACCGATTCCGACTTAAATACAGCAACTTTTCAATAATAATAATAATAAGTTAATTAAATGAATCAATATATAGAGCAATAAAAAGATTTCTGCAAATATCTTTTTTCATTTTATCAATAATAATAATAGAAATAAACGGGCGCGGTCCTCTCTTTTTGCGTTTATCATTTTCAAATTGAGGAACAGTGCCGGACCGCGCCCAATAGGAACTTGTTTTACTGACGCCCCCGGTAGAGGGCGCGTGCAGTTTGCCGGCGCGCGCGAAATTCGAACCGGGTGGTTCCACTGCGCGCGCCTATGCGAGATAAGGTTACAATTAGGAACATCATAAATGTCGCAGTGTTCGATTATTCATTTTACTTGGTTTCTCTAATATATACACACACGCACACTCGTCACACGAACAAAAAAAACGTCAGGAACTGCCAGGGGGCGGGTCTCGGGTGCGGCTCGGGCGTTTTCGCCCGTCGATCGGGAACCTTCGACCCGCGTCGTCTTAGTAACTATCAGTTGCAGTATAGGAAACATAACCCTACTTTTCTATAATACATACAACAATAATTATTATTTTACACAGCTACGTAAGTTTTACGAGACTAAGTTTTCTTTTAATAGGAGTTACTTATAAGCGAGAGATCTTGATTATTTCTCTTACATGTTTCGACCAAATATCACCAATAATTTTTGGATGATAATATAATAATTAATACCGGATTTTTTTAGATTAATGTAATCTATAATTCTTTGTAATCATTTTTAACGTGATGAAAGTAAATCTTATTCTCTGTTGGTATTATAAAATAAGAATCACTTTTCACCACTGAAATCGTAGGAAGTTCTAATGACTGGTAGTGGCAAGAGCTTGCGCCACCTCCCCTGGACTAAGAAACCTCCTTTTTGGTTCTCCAGGCTGGCAGAAAGTATTGGAGTTCGAATCAACTACCTGACCTTGAGTGGATGGGCTTTCCTGAGCTGCCCTGGCTGCCAGAAGAGTGATTTGTTTCACCACGTCTTCCATCTCGTGACTTAATGGACTCTCACTCTGAGGAGGAGCATGATCTTTATATTGGTGACTTCCCGACTCAAAGTGGCTCTTTAATTCCAGCAAATTTTTGATTTTTTCGCCATTATTGCACTGACGACACTCGAAACCACTCTGGACTATCCTGAAGGTGCCCCTGTTCTCCTGGTTGGCTCCGTAGCATTGTCTTTGGTGGCTGAGTAACGGAGAATCGCCTGGGTATGCCATGCGGCACTTTTTGCAGACGAAACAAAGCTCGATATCGATGTCTTTGACTGGCAGGTCTGCCGGACGATGAAATGGTGGATCGGGTAGTTTGAGGGTGGTAACACCGGGTTCGCTGTTATTCTGGGCGACTTGCTCCAGGACTTGGGGTGGAAGGGGAAGAAAAGACGGACCACTTCCGGTGTCTAGAAGCAATCCTCCGGCTCCTGAAACAATGAGAAATGAGTTTAATAATGTCATATTCACATTATAAACTAAATACTTAAGCTATATAATTTTTAATTTCTAAGTAAAAATAATAAATATTTATGTTATAGTGGACACAAAAAAATTGGCTTGGAAATGAAGAACGCAGCTGAATGTCATCAATCGTCATGCCAAAGCCAATAACTTGATCTGTTTTCAAATTTTATATGGGTAGAATAAGCTCTAATGTGACCGGTTATAAAATTAAAACATGCCACAAAATTAAAAACTTGATTATTAGACTACATATTTAGTATGAAAAAAATAAAAATCTACCAATACTTTTAATAGCATTAGAGAGATTATGGACCATTCGTATAGAGCAAGAGTGTTAACCGACAGGCTTATGATTAGGGTGCTGACTTGCATTATTATCAAAAATGTTTATGTTAATATATCATCTTATTAATACTACACAAAGACCAGATTGAACAAACTTAAAATCATTAGCGTAACTAGCAATTTATCCTGGGGTGGGCCTGGGGGGGGGGCTGGTGTTGATCCCTGGGGGCGCTTAGGGTTTTTGTTTTTTTAAAAATGAAAATAATTAAAAAAAAAACATTTTTTGAATAAAACGTTTACATGAATTTCTCTATCAATAAATTTCATAGACTTGGTTATCAAACCGTGTTCCCGTAGATTACTTAAATACCTACAATTTTTCTAAAAAAATAAATATTAACACATTTTTTGAACAGAACAAAATAATATTAATTAAACAAAACTAGAAAACGTCATTTTTACTACATCACAAGCAAATAAAAATTAATACGTAGCCAAGAGTCATAATTCAGGATTTCTCTGGGGGGTGCCCAGCAGTACCTGGGTGGGGGCACCCCTGTAGTTACACCAATGCTTAAAATTCAAGTTCAAGTGACCTCTGACACGCCCTGAACTCAGCAATTCTATTTAGGTATATTTTTTTGTAGTATAAGATTCTAAGATGGGGATGCCCAGTTAGGCTTCAAAAATGGTTATCTCCGTTTCAGTCGTAAAATATCTAATTTTTGAACTAAATTTAACGATGAGAAGTCACTAAACAACCTATTAAATGATTAAACTTAGTTTAAACCTGAACTCTGAACCGAGTATGAACAACCGGGACTAAATAAATCTGGAATTTCTGGAATTACTCTATTTCGTATACAGAAAGAACAAATATATTTTCAATTAGGTATCATCACGAACTATTGGACATTGAAATTGGCAGTCTCAAAAAAGATCTTACGCGATAATTTATTTATACTAATGTAAATGTATACCGGGTGCACCTCAAAAGTGGCTCACCCCTATAACTTTTTTATTTTTTCAGATAAAAAACGAGATTTTGTATGTTAGTATATGACATTAATTAGGATTGATTGACGTATTCAATTGTTTTTGGTCACTTCCTGTTTCACCGGAAATTACTGCAACTTTTGATTTTTAAATGGTACTCTCGGTATATTTCTACTTTATTCGATAGAAAATGACACTGAATAGAATGATAAACCACATGTCAACTTTTGACATTTTCGCATAAGGTTTATTTGAAATTGTAACATGTGGTTTATAACGATAATTTGACTCGAAATACCAAGTATGTAGTACCAAATTATTCGTACAAAATGCCTTTTCCGCATATAATAATAATAATAATAATAATAAATGGCTTTATTAAAGGAAAAGTAACAAAATACATACTCCTTCTTCAGGCAAAGTCTAGCCTATGGCTACTCTACTTAACCTGTTCAAAGAAAAAAAAATTAAATATACAATTACAGTTAGCACCACCTGCACTACAACAATTAGTAAATCAGACAGAAAATAACCAGAAAAACAAAGAAATATTTATAAAAAAATAAAATAATTTAACAAAAAAAAAATCATATATTATGACAATAAAAAAACAAAACTGATAAAAAAAAAGTGATCTGGATCAGGGAGACGTCAAATCTGTTGGCTCATGTAAACCTCTTTAAGCTTTTTCCGAAAAGTACTTAGAGACATTTTCTTAACATTATTTTCGATATTATTAAACAATAAAATTGCATTATATAGATAGGAGCGGCGAAAGATAGAGGAGCTGTAAACAGGAAACTCCAGTTTATTTGGATATCGCAAGGTTCTGTTTACATCACTGCGAAATATAAATCTGTCAAATAAATATGAGGGTGTCTTTGTGGAAATAATTTTTTGTGTAAAATTACATGTCTGATACTTATACATGTTATCTATTTTGAGCCATTGTAGTATATTCTTCATATATACTTCCGCAAGCCAAATACAAACCTACAACATGAATTTTGTAGTTTTTGCAGTCGATTTTTGGATTTTTTATCTAAACAGTTATAAAATGAAACAAGGCAATTCGCAATTATAGGAAATATAAGAGACTCACATAATTTTTTTCGGATTTTAAAATTTAGGAGATATTTATTCACATATAACGATTTTAAGACACAATAAGATTTTTTCAGAATATTTGCTATATGACTTTTAAACCGCATGTCCACGTCAAAGACGACGCCTAGATTTTTATATAGCTTAACACAATTTAGGGATGTACCATTCAAGTTGACCTTTAGCTGTGATGAAACAGATTCGTAACGACGCGCAGAACAAAAGCACATCAAAGAACATTTATTAATATTTAACTTTAAGTTATTTTCAGCAGAGTACTCAGATATCAGTTTAAGATCATGAGTAATCTTAGTTATAGCAGTTTCTGTTTCATTTGGATTAAATGACATAAGTAATTGTGTATCATCAGCATATGATATCATGTTACAATAAGACGACTTTTGAAGTAAGTCTGCCGTGTAAATTAAAAATAAGATAGGACCAAGGACAGAGCCCTGAGGCACTCCAGAAGTAACACAATTTGAGGATGAAAAATTGTCATCAATTTGAACAACTTGTTTTCTATCCGAGAGATAGCACCGAAAAAACTTCAGTGATATGTCAGAAAATCCATAAAACGCCAGTTTGCTACACAATAACTCGTGGTCCAGCGTGTCAAACGCTTTAGAAAAATCCAGTAAAATTAGAGCCAAAGCTTCGCCATCATCCATACTATTCAAAATATTATCTATTACATACGATAGCACAGTGGCAGTGTTATGGCCTTGCCTGAAACCAGATTGATGAGCTGGTATTATTTTATTAAAAACTGCATACTGGTAGATTAGAGGTTTTAAAAAAATTTCAAGTATTTTTGATAAGACCGGTATTAAAGCTATAGGTCTGAAGTCTGAAAGTTCTGCCGGCTTATTTATTTTGGGAGTGGTTTAACCAAAGAAAGTTTCCAAGCAGTTGGAAAATATCCCGTTTCAAGACATAAATTAACAATATGAGTTAGAGGTAAAGCAACGCAGGGCAAACAGTATTGTAACATAACAGTAGTGATACCATCATAGCCAGCTGCATTGGATTTTAATGATGTAACAATTTTAATTATCTCCCACTCCTCGGCCTCGGCATATGCTAATGACACACCCTTGTTCCATTTGAAAAAATTGAGATATTATTAAAAATACGATTTGGGCATCTTTTAATTGGCCAGGACAAGATGCGAAAAACAATAGACGATCGATCTATTTTCCAAGGCATCGTGATTAAGATAAATTAGTGTTTTTAAATACGATTTTTTAAGCAAAAATGTCAAAAGTGGCCATATGATAAGCCATTTTATTCAGAGTGTCATTTTCTATCGAATAAAGTAAAAAAAAAATACCGAAGGTGCGATTTAAAAATCAAAAGTTGTAGTCATTTCCGGGGAAAAAGGAAGTGACCAAAAATAATTGAATACGTCAATCAATCCTAATTTATGTCATATACTAAGATACCAAATCTAGGTTTTTATCAGAAAAAAATTAAAAAATATCAGAAAAGTTAAAAAAGTTAAAACCCAAACCACTCTTGAGTAACACCCCGTAAATTATTGGTCGTTGCAGTAATACTAAATTGAAACTCGCAAATAGAAGAAATCGCAATCACAGTTTCCTATCGCGGGCTGCAATTGCGATCTTAAAATCGCTGCGTTTGAATCACAGTTTACGATTTTTTGCTCATCTCTACCTGGTATAGTTAATTTGAATTAGTTGTTGAAGCTATATATTTTGGATATTGCATCTATCGAAATTTCCAATACTTATAAAACATCCTCTATTTTAACATGGAAAGCAGGTATCTCCTAACACCATTAAACACAAAAAAATGTTTTTTATTCAGGAAGACCAATGCGAAGGAAAGCGCTTAAAATTAATGTAGCGTTATCGAGAAAAGTAATCTTTTCCAGTAATTAGATCCGACACGGGCATCGGTCCAAATTAAATCACGTCGTGGGGTGATTTGATTTTTAATTTTCTCGCGGGAAACGACGCAAAGAAAAATCTACTGGGAAAAATTCGGCAGGGCGTTAAAACGAATTTTCGGTCGGATTTTTTGGCGCGTGAATTTTCCGAATTAATTTTGGGTAATTAATTTGATCTAAAATCGAATTTAAAAGAGCTTAAAACGGAAGAAACGTTTCTTATACAACTGTCTAAAAGAATGATATTTTTTGTTACTAGGGATTTGTAAACGATTTATTTTTTACTTTTAACAACTTCAATTTAAATTTTAGGGATTTGTTTTTATGGTATGGTCTCCTGTTAAAGAATTACCTTGAATCAGTATATTATTTCAATATTTACTGAAATTTTATTCATAGAAGAGGTGTTCATAATTTCGTTTGTTTAAAAATTCGAATTTTTCTTTCTCATTTTGCCATACTTTTTTGGTATTCTTTTTATCACTTTGGTAGACCGCTAGTTAGTCACAAACAGTAACTAACTAGCGGTCTACCTGCTACCATTTATCGCCTTTATCGGTTTATAATACACGGTATTGCGCCTCGTGAATAAAATACATATACGCAAAATTATTTAAAAAATCGTCTAATTATTTATTATTTCTGGTTATGGTAAAATATCGTTTA